GGAGTTGGAAAACCCTGATTCCAAACCAATGGTACACATGGGCTCCAGTATCCTGCAGGAACAAATGGCATACGAATCAATCGTTGATCACCGGCTACCATGGGACTACATCTCCTCACGATGCTCTACTGCCTTGTGGATCAGACCTTTTGGTCAAAGGCTTCGGGTGTGGCCCCCTAATAAAACCACCTGCTTCAGTTCGGGCACCTGGGCAGTATCACAGCCCTTAAGCAAATCGAATGAGATTTGTATGGCGCGTATGTATCTGGTGCTTCTTTGTACCTATATTTATTTGTTTAAATAAATAATAAATATCCTCTTTTATTACCATTAATCTGTTTTCAGTTGCTTCATTACACAATCATCTAATGTTTGTTAATTCCACGAGTTGTAGTCACTATTTCAATGTTCTGGAACTTTTCCTCCTAAACTTTATTTATCCGAAACATAATTGTTATAACCTAATTAACTCTTAAAATCTTCGCTAAATTATGTTACATATAAACATCTTTAATCACTTTCGTAAAGTTGATTTTCAAATATTTTAGGTTGTAAGCAGCTGATGAGTACCTAACGAAATAAAATGAACTCATATCATTCCGCACTAATCTTTGTTCTTGCTCTCTTTAAGTTCTGAAAAGAAATTATGTGTATAAAACGTTTACAAATATTGTTTCACTTTCTAAATCTTTCATAAACGCTGTCCACAGCTTGTCTTCAATGTTTGTGCGAATCATGATTAAAGTTTTTTTACACTTATACATTTGTTAAATAATCTATTAATTATCTAATGGTATAGGACAAATGTAAGAGATTGTCTACAGCTAATGATGATAAGAGGCAATGTCTTTTAAGACACATTGAGTTTTTTGTTTAAAGTATCTTCTTCATGACCCATAAGAATCAATTCGGTAGAATATTTGAAGTATAACATTGATTTTTACATATCAAACTTAGTTATTATCTATCATACGGAGCCAACTCTCTGTCAGAATAGTGAGCAGATTCTTTTTATTAGCTTAATATATTTACATAAGATTTTAGTAGTTATGTAAATTTCTTGTATGTACAAACAAATGCCTGTTTTAATTTCCTAATTATGCTGAATTAAACGGCTCGTGAATATGTATAACTAATGGAAGTTGAATTAATGTCATACTCTGGGGAAATGGATATTCATTATAAAATAGAATAAATATGCTATTATTATGCAAAATGAATTGATGTAATGATAAATAAGCATATGTTATGAGATTCAATTTATTGTTTATAGTTATAAAGAAATATAGTTATCGTTTTTTGTACAGCCAAATATATTGATACTTCAAGTAATTCCTTTATATATTCGAAGAAGTACCTATCAGTTGAAGGCTATTATCCGGTCTAGACATAGTGGAAAAGCAACATTTCATAAGTAAATTATTTACAGAATCGTTAATCATAAATTTTCTTAACTGAACATTTGTGACATGGTTGTTAAGAAACAAAATCATGAAATTCACTTAGTATTGCTTGTTTGAATCTTTCCATTGATGCTTAGGACTACAACTGGTCGGTCTCTTACTGGCATATGTGCATATTGTGCGTATTGCTTCGATATTGCCTTAATTCACAAGCATTGTAAGCAAAGATGGATAGTGGCTAGTAGTAGAATCCTGGACGCACGTTTCGTCCTATTTGGGACGAGTCCCAGTTGCAGTCCTAAGCATAAACGGGAAGATTCAAACAAACATTACTAAGTGAATTCAAACTTCACCCCATTGCACAAGTAAGTGGTTATCAGGACTCAGTATCTGAGTGGATAACGCGATGGCGTTTGAATTGAACGGTACTGGATTAGAGTTCCAGAGTGAACATCAACTCTGAGATGCAGATACATCCATCTGACGAGTCCCAGATAGGGCTAAACGCGCGTCCCAGATTCCACTGCTAGCCACTATCCATCTTGGCCTATAAAATCATAAAATGTATGCCTAAAATGTGATTAGAGCTGATATTACTTTAGAGTACAGTAATATTAACGAAATATATACTTTGGTATTTATAAATCTTGTAAGAATAGAGTCATTGCTAATAAGCAGAGTATGAAAAAGATGAGTATAACAGGAATGACAATTGCTGAGCTTTTGAAATAAAAGATTTGTTAAGTAGTTTATTTACAATTGTTCATTTGGATGTTTCATGTCAGTTATATGTTCTTTGTTAACTATCCGAAGCTGAAGTTGAAGTGATCCATTTGAATTACAGTAGAGAAGCATTAACTTCAGATAAGTGATTTTTTAATTTTTCAAGCTGTCATATTTTCTGACGAAACTAGAGTATAGATTAGTATTCAGAATACAATATTCATTTAGTAGGAAACTAAAACGTTAACTTTACGAAGAGGTAAAAGTGTAATAGCCTATCAATTTGTGTCTTGATAGAAATAAAGTAACGGATCGGTAATATGTCATTATAAAAAAGTAAACACGCAAAATAATTGTATGATGGAAAGCTGTAATAATAGGCTCAATTATAAACTCCATCGAGAAACCTCAACTGACATATCTCAAGGAACACATCTCTTAATAATGTCATTGAATGATGATCCTATTGTAAATACAGAGCATTAATATCTAACATCGCTCTTATGATGTTCACTACAAGACCAGATGGATCTGGTTTTCAACTAATATAGAGTTTGTAATTCATACCAGTTAGTAGTCACAAACAAAAGCCGATGTTTTTCACTGAATCTTTACCATTGGCCCAAACTGTGTTCAAATTGATTATATTGTACTAAGGTCGACAATTGGATAATTTTCTTATCGTTTATTCTAGAATTCTTCAGTAACAAAACGTTTTCTAATTTTAGCATTTTATAATCATTCCAAACAAAAAAAACTGACAAACTGAAAATAAAATGCTGATAAACATTTCCATACTCCATGAGTTTTCCGATTTTATCGTCGTAAAAAAAATTAAAATGTTTTAACATACATTCATTGCATACCAACTGATTTTATGGTGAATGTGTGTGACCGTACACTGTCTGAATAATTTTATTCGTTTGATAAAAAAAAGAGGACACTGAAGTAATAATAATTCCTAATCCCATGAAAATATCAAAATACATAGGTTGTGGAAAACTAACTTATCAACAATGTCGTCTATTGAAAACGAGATTTCAGTAAAACAAAGATGTTGGCACGTTGCTCTGTAGAACATAATTCGAGGTGGGTTTTTTCAGTAATCGATGCTTACTGCAAAGGCAATGAACAAAGTTCGGTTTCAATAAAAAAATTTCGTTTATTTTCGAATAGATTTTTCCCTCTATCTAACGTTCACTGAAAAATGACTTTTCGTAGAAGGGTTTTAGCTAATTTAACCTTTCCTTCTTAACATATCAAGATACTCAGAACATGAAACCATTACACTTCAGTCTCAAAAGTCAATAAGGACATTATGTAATAGAAACCAAAGGAAACTTATTTCTGAGACTCACAAGATTAGTATATTTCTGTCCCTAGTTTCATAGTACGTTTATGAAATATATACCAAGTAAAGAACGCGCCAGTTTTATTTCAAGGAACTAAACTTTCATTCCTTAAAACAATTATAAGAAATAAAGATCTTTCGGTCTCCCTTAAACATAATTTATGTTCACTTTGACCAAACAAAAGTTTAATAATTTTCTTTCAAATATTTCCGAACATTCCGCATATTTCATCTTTCAATCAGCTAACAACAAATAAGATAATTTATGTTTCTATGATTATCCTTTAACATATTTCTCTTACTTAGTTACGCCTGTTATTCCCAATGGAGCATAGGCCGAATACATTTCTTTAAAAAACTTTAAAAATTTACCAATATACTTAATGACGATCATTATAATTTGTTTTTTGATATTTTACATAAATTAAGACTAAAATCGGCATTTTATTCTCAGTAAGTTTACCGAAACCATCGTAGGTAATGAATAATTTATCAGTATCAGTTAACGGTGGTCGGTGACCATACCACATTGAAAGCACCGGTTCCCATCCAAAAGAAAATTATCGGTGATATCCGTGCTTAAAATTCTTTACATTGACTGCGATCATCTTCCCTAAACTTTTTAAAATGAGGTTTTACCATGAATAATATTTTGTATCCCTACCAAATATTTTTTTATCCTGAGAAGCATGAAAGTTTTATGAAACAGCTGAGCAGTATTAAGTAATCACTAAAGATAATTTAAATTTCAGGAATTCGGTTTAATAATCCGAATATTTATGTCAAGCCTTACTATTCGGTATATCTTCTGAAAGCACATTTTTCATTTCTTCAAAACAGTATGAAGATACTGATTGATCATCCTATCCCTAGTCTTTTACATCTCGTCCTAATTACTTTAACGTAATCGTTATTAAAACTTAAATCGAAAGTATTGGTCTCTCTAGTCTAGAAGCAAATTAATACTTTAAATGATTTTCATTATCAAACAAACAGTGTGATACCATCTAAATGAGCTAATAAGTGGCTATAAAACAGTAAAACATTAAAACAATGAAGGTTTTCGTTTATTCAACAAAAAAATCTTAACAGCAAAAAGATTATTTTTGATAATATATGTCATTTTATATACTGAGAGTATGAAATACATTATTTCAAGAAACGTAGCCCCCAAATGCCCTGGTATGGCCGAGAGTGAGAAGAGTTCGCTCTCCCTCTCGAAATACTTTCACATGGTCATGCGCAATATAGCCTCTGCTAGAGAAGTCCTACTCACTGCCTTCTCATGGCATTACTGTTGTTTACAAAATTAAGAAAACAAAAAGCGAATTTCCGACGCTTTAACCGGGTTGGCGAAAACGGAACGTCCACCTAGGGGAGTTGGAAAACCCTGATTCCAAACCAATGGTACACATGGGCTCCAGTATCCTGCAGGAACAAATGGAGTACGAATCAATCGTTGATCACCGGCTACCATGGGACTACATCTCCTCACGATGCTCCACTGCCTTGTGGATCAGACCTTTAGGTCAAAGGCTTCGGGTGTGGCCCCCTAATAAAACCACCTGCTTCAGTCTGGGCACCTGGGCAGTATCACAGCCCTCAAGCAAATCGAATGAGATTTGTATGGCGCATATGAATCTGATACCCCCTTTTACCAATATTTATGCGTATAAATAAATATATAAGAACGATGGGCCACAATATTATTGTTTTTACTTGTTTTGACTAGCGAAATGTGTTCATTATGAAGACTAGAGAATATGTGACTGTTTAAGTAATTATCATTTAAGATTAAATATATTTTCATGGTATACTTTTATATTACTGTATCTTTAAAAGTTCAATACTTCCAATTGTTTGCAAATATAATTAGGTGATTCCTTGATGTTTTGGCAACTATACTCAGAAAACAATTTGAAGTAACTAGACAAAAAAATATTTTCACAATGAATATTAATGAAGCAGACTCAAATTATCAATTATTTTATGGTTTCAATGATCCAGAAGGACAGAATATAGCATTAGCTGCTACTAGTATGATTAAACCAATTCCAAATGAGAAAGAATTATTTCTTTTTGACAAAACATCACGTACAACTGGATATGGAGGATTAGTCTCTGCAAGACAATTACATTTTATCTGTGGACCTTATCCAGAGTTAATAATTGATGAAAATATAATATTTGACAAGATTATACAAACAATTATTTTACCCATCTTATTAATTATGTTAATTTCATTCAATAGTTTATCAGTTGCTGTTTTAACTAGACCTACTATGAAAACACCTGTATTTACTGTATTATTAGGTATAACAATTATGGAAATGTTTAATGGATTATTACCTTTACCAATGTATTTACTCAGAGCATTTTATGGTGATCCAGTTTGGTGGGAGTATAAAAAATATACATTATATAATCTAACACAAATTTCTAAATGGTGGAAATATGGTCCATTAGAGATATATCAAACAAGTTCAAATCCTATCATAAGTGGAATATTTGCATGGACTACTGTATTTCTTCCAACTGTTTGTCATACAACAGCTACATGGTTAACATTATTTGTTGCATTACAACGACTTATCTATATTATATATCCTAATAAAGCTACAAGATTATTTTCTATACTTACAGTACGTTTAGTATGTGTTAGTGTATTACTATGTGCATTAGTTTTACATATTCCAATGTTTCAATCAACTTTTGTTAAATTTCAACCACTTCTTTTACATCAAAATGTTATCCTTAGAAACTATTCAATTGATTTTAAACAAATATCATTATATGAAGCATTAGATTATCTACCATATGTTGTCATGAAATGTCATACATGTTTACCTATTCATATGTTTTTATATTTTTTAACCCGTGTCATACTTATACATTTATTACCTTGTATATTATTAATTATATTAACCATTATCATCATTATGAAAATGAGACAGATTAATAAAAAGCATTTATGGCTTACACGAGGTAAATTATTACTGCAATATTCTAAAACATTACCTACATATAAACAAACCAAGTCTTATTCATTACCTATTACATATAAACATAGTTTATCACCAGAACTAACAAATACTTTAAAACAAGATTTCATCACTGTTGATAAACATCATCATAGAATTCAAAATAAACTAAATTGTTTTACTTGCCTTATAACGAATAAAACAAATAGACTATTTAATGATGAACAAGATTTTGATGATTTACGATTTAAACTATTAAATAAAAATTCTACATTAGCTATATTACTCAATGGTAACGTGAATGAACATATTCAAGAGAGTAATATTCAATCAACCCCATTAAGACGTAAATCACAAATTACAGAATTTTTTAATGTTTCCAATATGTTAATTGTAATATTGATTAAATTTATTTTAATACATCTACCTAATGCTTTAGTTATTTTCATATATACATTAACATTAATGCAAAATAGAATATATGACTTTATTGGTAATAATATTGATATTACAAGTAGATCCATTAATAATATTAGAGAAACTATACCAACTTTGAGAAGTACTAATCAATCTATTTTATTACCATATACAGTAATAGAATTTGTTAATCAATTAAATAGTGCAAATACAATAATCTATATTAATGAAACACCTATAAAGTTATTATGGATAAAAGTTGTGATAATTTGTAATCTTTTAATATTATGTTCATATTTATTGAATTTTTTAATATTTTGGACAATGTCAACATCATTTCGTACACAATTTGTTAATTTATTTAAATGTAAATGTATGAGAAATTCATGAGTTAAAGCTTAAACTTAACTGATCATTATTGACTTTGTTAATGCTTGTATCCATGTATATGTATACATCATAATTCTGTTGTAAAGTGTGTTAGTTTATATATTAAGAGAATATTACAGAAAAAGTATTTCAATATTTCAAGTAAACATCTTGTGTAAATATGTTGATTTATAGCTCATTCAGTCAGTCAGTCAGTCAGTCAGTCACAACGTAGAACTTCGTACGTACGTACATCAGTTCGAGTTGTCATACAACATGTACACACAGATCCAGTTGTCGATTCAAATCCCATAGTGGTAGAAGTAGTAAGAGTATAAACAGGAATCCGAAGGATTAGGGTTTGAAGATGTTATCGAAGGAGTATAATAGAGTGAAACAAATTTGAAAAGAGAAAAAAGATAGCGACATGAAGAATTCAGAAGATTAAAGTTTGGCAGAACACAAAGATTGGATGCATCTTTGCCATTGCAAACAATTTTGAGCCATGTCATTCAAGGTCTTTAACCATCGATTGACGTCGTCTCACGAATTCCAACCAGGGAGTCTATACCTACCAGCATTGCTAAGTTCAATTGTCAGTGACTTCATCGATTCGTGCCACGTTTTGGTCTGACCTCCCCTAGCTTTCTTCTAACCTACTCCTACACCATAAAACATTGCACGTCGGGGCAGTCGGTGGTTGGGCATACGTAACACATGTCCCAGCCATCTCAATTGATTAAGTTTCACTACTTCATCAACCGATTTATCGCTCTGATGTAGGTTGTGTTCTTCTATAGCTATCATACTTTATACCAAAGAATCCAATTATTCAAGTCACCATTGATTCAATGTGCTTACATTATGGAGAATATACTAGATTTCCAGGCAATGTTACTCAAAATCAAAATGGAATAATATAATGTCCAAAAGCTTAGTTTTTAAAGTCAGATTTTTGTTGTCAAGAGTTTCCAAACTCTTTTCTAGACGAAAATTACTCTGATATTTGCTTTTTACTATCTAAGATGTAGGAAAATTATTTGAACTATTTATTATGAAATGTATATTCTCAGAAGCTAATCACACTTTTTGACAAATTAACAGTAGGAAGTAGGAGCGTATAATTATATGGCGATTAGTAACTAGTATTCATGGTGAACATCATACTGTGGTTGTGAAACTATTTACAAAACTTCAGACAAATAAGTGATTTAGTAATATGTAGTATTACGTAAAGATTATCACTAAATTTAAATGGTAGATTTCCGTTTACCATATTGTGTATAATGAACTATTAAAGCTGAATATCAACATAACAATAGAAATGAAACCTAATGTGCGGTGCATCGGTCATTAGAGCTCAGCGTAGGTCAGATGCATTTATTAACCAACTGTTCAGTAATTATATTTTCAGAATATGTATAAATGAATTAGCATATCCATCATTCCGTTTCTAAACAATAAGAAACTAGCTACCCTATGTCATATATGACATCAATGTGGTCAGTTGTCCTTTGACCAAGATTAACTTTTCATTAAATCTGATGTACACTGAGACATTTTTGATTATGGGACTCTTCAGCAATGAGCATCCACAAACCCTTTCTCGCGAGATTCGAACCCAGGACCTACCAGTCTCGAGCCAGAGCCCTTAAACGATAGACCACTGAGCTGGCATCCAACGGTGTTAATGTCTAACCTCAACCAATCCACGAAATTGAGCAACCAACTTCCAATGTACTGAGGTAGATACCTGTCTCTACTAAGAATGTGATCTGATATTAAAGTTATCTCCACACAAACTATTCACGTTATAATGGGCTACTTCTAACTCTAGATATCAGTAAAAAATTGATTTGTGTTAAGTGATTTATAGAAAAATAGTCACTTTACCAGTTAAATGGATACATTAAAGAGCAAAATGAGTTTCATCAAGTGTTCGGTATTAGTAGCTGTCATTTATAATGGGATTATTTAAGTGTATTATTTATTTGAACAGCACAATTTCGTTTTAACTAACTTTGGATTATGCTATTCGCCAGTAAGTGTGTACGTCTGCTAATGCATTATTATTTCAAACATTATAATAAAAGCATAGCTTTACTGCCGACACTAAGGGCTTTAAGTAAGCTGTTGACTATTCATATGGGTAACACAAAAATTATGAAGAAATATAGAAGTTTAAAAAAATTTCTAAGTAACTCAAACTAAACAAATCTGTAGAGAATAAGTTTCTGAACGATTGCCAAAAGAAAACACTTTCTTGACGGACTAGTCTTACATGTATTAAGGAAATGCTCACTAGATCCATTTATTTTGATGGAGTTTTGTTCTCTGGGCTGGATGGTTTGGTCGTGGAGCTTTCATCGTTCTTCTGAACGACATCATCAGCACAAACTTCGGGTAGAAGTGAAGTGTTTGAATGAATCCATTTAGTTTAGTTGTAGTTCACTCATACTACATTTGAATAATGTTCATAACCCTAGCAATCTTAGAAACTTCAATTTTTCGCTAAAGAAACATTATGTTATATTCCGAAACTTGTATTAGATGCAAAGTTACAATATAGATATGAAATATTTATGTATTGCGTGTAACCAAGTTAATGTTTAAACATACAGAACATTATTTGTTTCATAAAATATTTATAGAAAGAACGTGATTAGCTCATAAGATTGTTAAAAGGTATAACAGATTAAGTTGTGTTTAAGAATAATTTTGACAGAGATTCAAGAATAGATTCATTTCTAAGTCTCCGTACATTTTAATACACGAAACACTTGAATCGATATTCTTTCGAAAAAGACTGTAAAATGGCAATTCTTGAAAGGAAAGATTACATTTTTTTAATGGACTATATTTGAACCTTAAATAAATCCCTTACTTACTTACTTTCGCCTGTAACTCCCAATGGAGCATAGGCCGCCGACCAGCATTCTCCAACCCACTCTGTCCTGGACCTTCTTTTCTAGTTCTATCCAGTTCTTGTTCATTCTTCTCATGTCTGTCTCAATTTCTTGGCATAATGTGTTCTTTGGGCTTCCTCTTCTCCTTCGACCTTCAGGATTCCATGTGAGGGCTTTTCTTGTGACGCAGTTGGGTAATTTCCTCAAAGTGTGCCCTATCCACTTCCAGCGCTTCCTCCTGATTTCTTCCTCCGCTGGAATCTGGTTTGTTCTCTCCCACAGTAACTTGTTGCTAATAGTGTCTGGCCATCGGACCCGAAGTATCTTGCGTAGACAGCTGTTAATAAACACTTGTATCTTCTGGATAATGGCTTTCGTAGTTCTCCAAGTCTTCGCCCCATACAGTAGAACTGTCTTCACATTTGTATTGAAAATTCTAACCTTGGTGTTGGTTGACATTTGTTTTGAGCTCCAGATGCTTTTCAGTTGTAGGTATGCTGCTCTTGCTTTGCCGATCCGCGCCCTCACATCTGCATCTGATCCACCGTGTTCATCAATGATGCTGCCCAGATATGTAAAGGTTTTCACATCTTTCAAAGCTTCTCCATCAAGTATAATTTGATTGGTGCATATTGTATTGAATAAATCCCGTCCCCTGGATTATTTAGTTCTCACCAAGTGTTGACACGAATTAGGCTGAAAGAAATAGATTTCTTTGAAGAATTGCACTTGTCTAAAATCATTTGTTGGCAAAAATAAGGTTACAAGTATGCCAGTAATGCAATGTGTAGATGTTATGTACTTTTCTGTGAATAGGTTTCAAAGAAGGTGCACTTTTGATGAGATAGCTTTTATGCTGAATGATATATTGAATAGAACCTGTCAAGACATTACAATAGTTATGTTATTTCAAATTAACATGCCTTTGAAAAATTTGTAAAAATATACATAAATGACATATAAATAAATAATATCCCAATGAATAGAAAAATTAGATTTTCTGAAGTTTCGCGACTCATAGTAAGCCACTTTTTAGAGAATAATTAACCAAATCAAGATTATTCCAAGTTTATATAGTACAACAGAACAACAGGAATATTATGATTCGATTATTTGTTCACTGAAGAAATGACTTACATTGAGTCATGAAAAGTCAGAAAATCCAATTTTTCTACTTATTGGGATATTACAACTATATCAATTTATTTATAACAATCTACCCAATGCTCAATTTATTCGGAATTATCAAGTCAAACCTTGGTAATGACACTTACAATTGGCACATAGGCCTTAGGTGAGTGTGACAAAACACAAACATTTTTTCAAGACAATAGCTGACAGAAAATGAACCGAAAGAGATCACAAATTTTCAAAGACATATTTGATTCTCCTTGATCACAAAATCTTTCAGCACAATTTTGCTCAAATTAGTAACAAAATGATTTCAAATTTTTTCACTTCATCGTACCGTTAACTTCAAATACCATCTCGTTATCTAATTAACTACTAATTCCTCATAGCCATAAGTTAACAATACCAAGTGAATTTAAAATTCACGCCATTGAACAAGAAACTGGCTATGAGGACTCATCACCTAATTGGCAACGTGATGGAGTTTGAATCGAATAGCAATGGGTTCGAGTCCCAGAATGACCATCAACTCTGAGATGCAGGTACATCCAGTTGATGAGTTCCGAATAAGATGAAATGAGTGTCTTGGATTCCAATACTATCCGCTATTCATCTTTCCTAATAAAGTTTTATTTTGTTTTAACATTTTTTAAAGTTATTTTAAAACTTTTTCATTATCGCCTTCATGTTCTGTTCAATAGTTTCCTTGCTAATCAATCTAAGATAGGTTTTTTTTATTTGTAATGAAATTTTTCATTTTTTTTCAACGATAGAAAAATGTTTATCCATAAATAATTTTATGTTTTAAAGAATGTACATTAAAATACTTCACGCTTTAAAAATTATTTATGTTCCTGTTCTGTTCCACTCCAGGGAATATTTTCTTGTTAATCTGATGTAATAGTTTCCTTTTTGTAAATGATTATTATAGTTGCCATGTTGATTAACTAAATTCATGGAATTCTAAATAAATTTTTGTTCTGTTAATTGATTTTCTTAATCTATCAAACATTGAAGATAATAAAGGAGAATGAAAAATAATCATCAGTTCAATATAGGAAAATTTAATCAATTCTGGAAATATCACTTAAAAGGTTTCTTCTTTCAAAATAATCTACACATTTAAAGAAACCGGATCGATGTGTTGCTGAATCAAAAACCTATACACTGCTGTGGTGA